ATCTGAAAAAATATTTAACTTTTTGTGCTCTATCTTTTATTTATTAACATCAAGATTGGTTTCCTTAGCTAAAGCGTCTAAAATGCATCATCGAGCCGTCGCCTTTTTTGACTACCCGACTTCAGGCTCTCAAAAAAATCTAGACATAAGACATTTTAAACTCGTTTTAATGTCATTTTGCAGAAAAATAATTGGCCTTTCGAATGCAATAAACCGTTGTTCAATTGGTGCATTTGTTACTTTTTAACGGAAGTACGAAAAAAATGACTTTTGCAAAAGACTTTTGCATCAACCTAATATATATATTATAATCCAGATTATAAAGGATTATAATATATAAAGGATTATAAAGGGTCAGGCATTCTGTTAAGCCATCAAATAGCTGCTGTTTATTGAATGGATTTGATTGATTGATTTTGATTTGAAAGAATCACAAGTCTACTACGGTACGATAGATTAAAACTATACAGGATTAGGAAGGTTAAAGTTGATTAGTTTGTTTATTAAATGAAATGCTCACCTCTCCATTTTCATTCGATTCTTGAATTAGATCGATGAGTGACTTCTGAAAACCTTTCTTTAGTCCAAAAGTTTCTTTTCTCAGTCAAACCTTTGATTTCTTCGAAAAAGGGGCATCTCCTCTTTGCTGTCTTTCATCGAATTTCCTTTTTAGACTTTGAGAGTCAATCATCTAAATCGGAAAATAATCATTTAAGTAAATTTTCGCTACAAAATGTCAGAAATCGAAGTCAATCAAACATCAGAAACATCAGAAATCGAAGTCAATCAAAACTTATCAATATCAATCTTATCAATCAAGAAATTTTCCAACAAAACAAACAAAAACGGTTCGAAAACCTAATCAACTTTGAAACCTGAAGCTTTATTGATTGCTGGCTACGTTTACTTTATAGTTCATTCAGCTCATTTGGATATCTAAGCTATGTTTTAATCTGAAATGTCCTGAAATTTGAAGTAAGCTACACCGTCACTCAAACCGTAACACCAGATAGTACACATCACTCCCTGAAGAGCTTGGGCAAAGACTAAATTAACGATGATGGCCCAAGATCAGAAATTATGTTAAGGGTTGAGGCTTGAAGTCTCACGTAAATTTATAATCCTTGTTGTCGTGCCAATCGATAATCAATTTGTTATCGATAACGATCGATAACGCCAATCGATAACGATAAAGCAGGAATCTTTTCGGCTAACGCCGCTTTTCCTGCTGGAGAGTTGGGGCTGAACGTAGTCGGGGATCCATTTATCCAAAGAACCTTTATTCTGTTCCTTTTTTATTTTGCGCTGAAGTTCATGGATATTAGTTGTTATTTGAAGCAGATAAAAGAGCAAGAAACTTCTTAGCAAGACAACAGGGGGCATAATTAGAGCTAAATTAATTAGAGCTAAAAATTAGAGTTGGTCACAACTTATCTTTTAAAAAATATATCACAAGGCACAGAAGTCTAGCTCGTGTCTTTTTGGCATTATGCCAGTTGTTGCCGCTGTGAGATCACAGCCGTCTCTCACGTCTCGTCTAGGTGGTCCAAAATTAACCAATTTTTGGGAAATTATTCTTTTTTAAAAAACTTTCTATAGAAACTAGCATGTATCATATATTATTTGAAAGCTCTAATTCTTAGCATCATTAATACATTCAGGATTCTCTGGTTAGAGCTTATCTTTGGCCCTTACTGGCCTACGGGATGAGCTCGCAGCGAGCACCTACCGCAGTCTGCCATTCCATCTCTTAGCCCTCGAACCAATTCTTACTTCTTAACCCTCTAAGAAGTAAGAATTCGTTCGGGAAAAACAAGAAATACGATCAAATTTGTGCATAGTTTATCAAAATGAATTGAATTCAATACTTCGAAACCAAATCGACAATCTAAAAGTGCCTTAACCAGCAGAACCAGGGACGCGTATTTTACTAGTCACCGCAAAATGGTGGTTTGCAGCAAGTTATGAGCCCGTTTTAACGATGAATTTGTAAATGCTCGGTTGGCACTCGTTTTAAGGGACTTTTTAGAGCGAAAGCGGCGCCGCGCACTTTCTAAAGCGTGGATGCGCTACCGTACCTCACACGAAAATTCCCCTTTTGCCATTCTTTTCATTTTCCTTCATTCCATGATGGAGCCGGAAGCTTTGTCCGGTTTTTATGCTGAGTCCCGCTACGTTTTCTTTCCCCTTCGTAAAATCTATTGTGTTTTTGTAGCACGTTTTTAAAGTAGTCTCTCTCCCCTCGTTCGTTCTCTCCTTTTCATATTGTTGGCCCATAGTTTGTTGTTTAAAATTCTAATACGGTTTTCTTTTCGGCTGCTTCCTCTCCATTGTTTTAAATCCGTTCAAACATGCGTATAAACTCAACTTAACCAATTCCTTTTAACTAAAACACGAAGCTAAATAGTTGTGTTCTTTTAAGGGCATCTTTGATTGTTGATCTGGAAAATTTAAGCTGTGAAGGATTTTTTGGATAAAATTTAGCTTTATCTAAGTTTGGTCGCTTCTAATTCTTTTTTTACACATTTTTCGGTGGTTTTATGATTTATTGAAGTCATTTTTAGTATCAGAGACAATTTATTGGACTGTTTGATATGGGTTTTACATTGAAAAATGTTTACTGCTCTAGATTAACCTAAAAAAGTGGTTTTGGTAACAAAAGTGACTTCAGTAAATCATACAAATGTTAATTCCAATGACGTCCTTTTATTTTCAGATCCGAGAATGCCGGTTGTAACGCGCGCGCAAAAACGAAAGCGAGAACCGCAACCAACGAAGTTTCAAGATTTACCATTGGAGCTGCTGAAGGAGATCGCACGCCATCTCGGTGTGAAAGACGTTCTGAAATTGATGATAGTGAATAAGAGGCTCTACTCGAGCTATGCAATGGATCAATCGATCGTTTTTGGAAAGCACGTCGCTGTGGTTGCCCTGGGACATACCTTCGCTGGGATCAAGAAGTTCGTCGATTCTCCGTCCTTTCAACTGAACCCAACTCTTCTTCCTTTCGTCAAACGGATCGATTCATGCGACCAGTTGCTCATCCCTTTCTATGCCGAACCGACCGGTTCGCTCCTAAAGCAGTTGAAATCCGTGAACCATCTCGATTTCAATGTTGACAGTGAGGAATATTGCCTCAACTTCCTCAACAATTTTCGGGGATCGGTCAAAAATAGCGCAGAACTGAGCATCTCCATCGGGCCAATTGAACAAGATCAAGCAATGAAAGAGCGACTTGGCAAATTCATCGAAAGCCAATTGAACGGATGCGAGAAGGTCACTCTGACCCCGGGTCTCAGGCTCTTTGAGGGTTGCTTCTACGTCTATCACGAGGCCATGATGAAAACACAACTCAAAATGATTCAAATTGAGGCTCCTCCTGCCCCCGAATTTGAACAAATCCTATACTTGATTGTCAATCAAGGAATTCCGAGTAAGAATTCTGAAGCGTGGATTCACATTGAAGAGGAAGGCGACGACGGCGACGACGGCGACGACGAAACGGATGCGATTCGTGCCAGAGTCGGTGATTGTCTTTCACAGGCGCAAGGACTCCAAAGAGTCGATGATGCCGAAAATCACTTCGCACTCGTTTCTCGTGCAAACGAGCTGCTTAGAGAAACATACGAGGATGCTGATTGGATGTTCAACAAGGATGCTGATTGGGTGTTCGACCAGAATACTTCGTGTTTTCGCCGCCGAATCGACCCAGTGACCAGTTGCATCTACGTGTTTCGGTCCGATCCTCAGCTTCTATTTTTGGCCTTCTACATGCCGTCTCAATGCAGTAATCTGTAAAGGAATGAGATCTTGTAGCCATGTCAGATCTGCCCTATATTTAAATCTTTTTGAATCTGTGTTTCCTATTAGTAGTTTTACTGTACTATTTTGAGTTTTTCTATTATGGCAATATGTTGTGTCTATGATTATCTGAATCGCTTTTATCCGCCCTCTGAATAAAGCATATATATAAATAGAGTTTCTAGAATATGGAATTTGTGGCCAAAGCATACCTTTGAATCTAACTATTATTTTACTTCTAAAAGACACAAATTGGCTAAATTTTTCAGAAATACATATGCTTGCTCCATATGCAAAAATCGTGAATTTGGTCAGCTAGTTTGGCCTCCTTCCGTTCCTAGGCACCATTTTTAGAATGGAAATTGATTAATATTAGCTTTTTAGAGCTTTTTAAAACGCGAAAAAGGTGCGCTAATGGGCCGGATAGGCCAACAAAAGGTGCCCGCATTTGTCCCATTCCCGAACCACTAAAAATGATTAAAAAATCGTAGAAATTGAAGAATCAATTCATTCTATTCAAATTCGAACTTATTAAATGAATGAATGATAAATCTGCATTTAAGCACTATCCTCAAAGAGATGCTAGCCAAAGCGCCGAGTTCTTTTTGTGCCAATTTTATTTGCGCCGATTATCATTTGTATCGAGTATCATTTACGCCAAATTTGCGCTTATGAAAATCACTATGATAAATCACTTTCCCCCAACTTCTAACTAACCTTTTTTTCAGTTTTCTGCTTCACAATTTTAGTTCTCACTGCTTTCAATTCGAAAACACGTTTAAATATCTATACAGACCCCAAAGACAGTAATTTTTGTGTCCCCAATTGAACTTTTTACTCTCTATTTCGATCTTATGCCATTTTCAGAGCTGATCAAGCGGCAAAATAGCGAACGACGGGAAAAAACGGAAAAAAAAGATAAATGGTCAATCAGAGTTGGTAGGAAAGTATTTTGAAAAGTCCAAATTTGGCGCAAATCATTTGGCGCTTTTGCTAGCACCTCAAAAAATTGCGACGCCAAAAAAAACAGCTTTGGCACTAAGACCACCCTTGAGCCTCTTTTCCTTTTTCAGAAATTTGAGTTGAAATGGGGAACTTTTTTTGAACACCCTGTAGATCACCACTACTTACAAATTGGTTAACTTCGCCCAACTCCACAATGAAATAAGCATTGCACATCGAAAAAGCCGATTGCTGGGATGGTGGCTTGTTGTAAGGTTGGTTTGGATTTAAATATAATTGGATCTAACTGAAAACAGATGCAAAAAAGTATCATTTTAGAACGTTGGTGCGTCAAACTTCGGCTTCTGCAAGCTCTTTGTGCAGATGACAGCCTTGGACTGAAGAATGCACGATTCTTTTGTCTTCTGGGTGAATGTTTCTTTAATTTAAATATAACAAGTGCAAATTTGGTTCTGAACTCATTGATTAGGCACCTAAAAGAACCGCATTTTTTGCTCTCTGAAATATCAACAAACGGCTCTTATCCAAAGAGGGTCTCATTTTTCTCAAATTACTTCATTGACTCAAGATAATCCTTCCGTCTATCAGATATTATTATTCAAATTAATGCTAATCTTTTTGTGTTACATATATTTGTGCTCGGCGATTGTTGAAGTTGATTTCACAAAGAATGGGGATTCGGGTAGGCAAGAGTTCAAGCAAATCACTTTTTCCTCAACCTAATAGCAACAAATATTTTGCTTATCTCCAGAAACGTTTAATTTCGTTTATTTCAAAAATTTTCAGAAGAATACTCAGCTTACATGAACAATGCCCGAAAAGTGATGCACGAGTTGTTCACAGTGAGAGCCTACAGTAAACACCAAGCTCCATTGTACGAGCCGATGCCCGAGAATTATTCAAGTTTGAAACCACGAAAAAGATCTAAACGACAAGCATTTAGCCAGCGAGACTCCACGAATGAAAATCAATTATATGCTGACTTATCTGAAAGTTTTTGATTTGGTAAGGAAAATGATGAAAATTGAACTAAATTGACCATTTTAAGGATGCAGAGAAGCAAATGCTCAGCTCGAGAATGGAAATGACAATTGTGAGTGGATAAAATAAAAAGCTGACTTGTTTTCGAGAGAAATCCTAAGAATCATGATCAGTAAACGAACTAGAGGCCTTGAAAGCAAAGTAAATCAAGTCAAAATCCTTCCTTCCTTTGGTGGCTTGAGTTTAGGTCCTTCAGTTCAACCCAAATATTTTTGAAGTCTATAAAGCATTTTAAAAATCGAGCCATTGCATGTGTAAGCCTAATAACCAGAATTCAGAGTTGGAGAGATCCCCGGTTGGCGTGGGATGTGAACGAATTTGCTGGAGTCAAATCCATTCTCACCACCACCGATGTAATCTGGTTACCCGATTCGACCTTCTCGAATTCGTGAGTGTGCTAGGCACAAAATATAGAAATGATCTAAACTTTAACAAACAGCTTACAATTGCTTTCAGTGCCAAGCTGGAGCAAGTGAATGCACAGGCGCCGAAATTTGTACGAATCTTCAGCAACGGAACTATTCGACAAGGCACAGCCTATTACGCACAAACCACTTGTGACATTAGTGTGAGTTGTAATTGTTGAGCTAACAAGGGAAACAGTAAGATCAGGGCTACAAGGGAAAGGCAACATTAGGATTTGGTCAAATGAGATGAGCCATAGACCATTCGATGCAGAATTTCACGCCGATTCCGAAGCTGCTTTCCGTTTCTGCAAAATGGCTTCCGATAAAAAATAACATACGTATAACATAGCTGTTTGAAGTTTTAGATTCGGTTTTAGATTTAGAATGAATGCGAGAATTTGGAGCTAAATAGGGATTCCTTTATAAGGGTTCTCACACGAACATGACTTGATGGTTTAGTGAATACAAAGCTTGCATACGAAACGATCGTGTGTGTACACAGGGAACAGAAACAAAACAAAAGCAAGCAAATAACACAAAACAAAAGTTTTGCCAAAAAGGAATCGAACTCGAGCAAAAGCGGTAGTGCCCGTTTTTGTATGCAACCGTTTTATCCACTAGGCCATCAAGCTATCAAGCCAGAACCCTGAGAGAACCCTTATAAAGCTAATCGGCTATTCGGCTTCAAATTTTCGCATTTTCGCAAAACTTAAAACACCTACCGTAAATACTGTAATAGTACCCCACCGCACATCCGCGCGAAATAAGGCAAAAAAAATCGTTTTCTATAGGTTTTTACGTTTGAATAGCCGATTGACGCAGAAAAATGTGCTGAATCCGAAAATAAAAGAATTTTTGAAATCCCTTTGACAAATTTTTTAAAAATCGAATTATGTGATAACCAGAAAGCACATTTTTATTTTCAAAAGGTTATAACTTTTTATAGGGTTTATCAATTTTTATGCTTTTGGCATCAAAAGATAGAGAAAAACCCGTAGAATAAAACTTGCGGTTTACATTTTTGTTTTAGGCTTTTGTTTCCAAAATTTTGCTCCGACAATAAAATATGGCTGAAATTTAACACAGTAAAATCACTAAAACTCGATTTTTAAAAAATTTGTCGAAGGGATTTCAAAAATTCTTTTATTTTCGGATTCAGTACATTTTTTTGCGTCAATCGACTATTCAAACGTAAAAGTCCTATAGAAAACACATTTTCGCGCGGATGTGCACCCCCCTCGTACAGTCGCGGAGTCGCAAAAGTTTTTTAGTATTTCATTTTTTTCAAATACTTTCAAAAAATGCTTCTTTGGTATCAAAAAATAGCTGAGATTCAGGGCTATTTTTGATACCTAAGCGCGTATTGTAGCATAAACCAGTGTCGAGAAAACCTCGTTTAAAGCTAGACTACGCAACACTCCGCACCGTCACTATGGGGGTGGGGTCCTATTACAGTATTTACGGTATGTTATACGCATGTTATTTTTTATCAGAAGCCATTTTGCAAAAGCGGAAAGCAGATTCGGGATCAGCGTGAAATTCTGCGTCGAATGGTCGATGGCTTATTTCATTTGACCACATCCTAGTATTGCCTTTCCCTTGTAAGCCTGATTGTTCACCCCATTTCACAATCTGATTCTGATCTATCAAGTTTTAACTTGATGACAAGCTTTAGGCTAACACCTTCCCGTTTGATCGTCAAAATTGCACTCTTCCCATACTATCGCTCAACATGGAAATGTAAATCTCGAGTTATTGAAGGTAAATCTAAATTTCAGGAAATGGATCGATCTCAAGTTAGATGTCCTCAGTGATGGAGCACAGATTTGGGTTGTTCGTTTTTCACTTTTATTTACAGGGTGATCGGAAATTATCGCCGCGCACTTTTTCCTCTTTATCTCAGCGCGCAGAGCACGAATTCACAAACTCTTTTTTTAAAAGAAACTAAACATAATCTGGTCTGGGTAGTTTCTTGGAAATAGCTCTGGATGCTCTCAGTGTTGAGCATCAAGCTGTCAAAGTTGGGCCTCCGAGCCGACGTGACACCCTTGTTGGGAGAGAACTTCAATCTCGCTTTTTTCGTATTTAGGTGGATTTTGGTCGAAAGATTGACGAATTTTAATTAAATTAAACATTTTTCTATGAGAATATTATCAAAATGCCTCCGCAAAAACCTTTTTTTTGATTATCCAAATCTTGTTTGAACGGCACTTTTTTTGTGAAGAAGATGCGAGCTTTTACCTCGTGGAATCAAGATTTTCGGTTTTTGTGATCACTTTGCTTAAAGTTTTCTGAAAAACAAATATCATAAGCTACTTTTAACATCGAAAAACTTAAGTACGGGTCTCGTATTTCCATGTGAGGGGCCAATTTCCTCCCAATAAGGGTGTGTGCCACGTCGACTCGGAGGCGCAACTTTGACAGCTTGATGCTCAACACTGAGAGCATCCAGAGCTATGTCCAAGAAACTCACCTGACCAAATTTTGTCTAGTTTCTTTAAAAAAAAAAGAGTTTATGAATCCGCGCTGAGATAAAGAGAAAAAAGTGCGAGGCGATAATTTCCGTAACACCTCTTCTTTTGACCTTTTTAGGGAAATGGGGAATGGATCGTTGTCGAGCTTTTGCCGATCATTTTCCCACCCGAAGGGACTATGGAGATTGTGAGTAACAGTAAATTTCGGGTCTAGGCCAAACCAGGATCAAATTAGGACCAAGACCAGAATGAGGCCATGACCAAGATCAGGGCTAGGTCAGGAGCAAGACCAGAGCTAGGTCAGGACCAGGATCAAGCCAGGACCAAGACCAGAATTAGATCTAGGGATTAGGTCAGGGTCAGGGGCAGACAAGATCCAGTTTGGGACTAAATCCTATGACCAAACCAACAGAAGTCCAAGGACTAAGTCAGGGCCAGGTCAGGACAAAGGCGGACCAGGATCAGGGCCAGGTCCATCTTGAACAAGACTGCTGAAATCTTGAACAAGTCAATCCTCCCTTTTCCAGGTCGGTTTCAGTCTCATCATCAAGCGTGTCCCCAATTTCTATGTCTACGTGATCGCTTTACCGTGTTTCCTCCTCACGATGCTCTCCGTTATTGGAATGTTTTGGTCGCAGAATTTCAAGAAACAACAGCTAGAAAAGGTTGGTTTTTCCTAGGTAAATCCTTCAGGTTTCCATTTATTATTTATAAAATACTTGTCATATCCATTCTTTAGCTGAGCATTGGTTTGACAAGTCTTGTTTCAATGACTGTTCTCCTCGAAATGTTGGCAACAGCGATTCCAAAAACCGAAGTTTTTCCACTATTGGGTGAGATTTGAGAATCTCTAGCAGTTGTCAAACAGAGAACATGCAAAATAAAGTAAAGAACAAGCTCATTAGTCTTTGTGAAGAGTTCAAAAGACCTAAGCCAAGACCTAGTGATGGTGGTTTGGTCCTTGGTGCTTGAGCCATAACAATATGTATCAGCAAGGCCTCAAGAATGAAATTACCTTATTTAGGTATCTACGTGGTTTGCTGTGTCGGCATTATCACATTAGCTTGTATGACTGTTGTCATTTACTCACAAGCAAGTCCCGTCAAACTTGCTAAAGTTGCTGAAAAGGAGAAGCGAACGAAAGAGGATGAGTTGACGAAAAATCGGTGGGAAAAATCAATGCGACTTTTTACCTATTAGAACATGACTCGTGTTACAGTTTTAACATCATTTTTGACCTTTTCAGTACCCAACTTCTTGCCGATTCGCTGAAAGGAATCGTTTGTCGTTGGAATTTCTTCCTACAGCTTTGCTTTCACACGCTTAATATTGTCGGTTTTGCTGTGTTTTTGTCATTTTGGAAATGAAACAGAAGCTAGAATAAGTATCCTTGTAAAAGATGCTTACTCAATTTTTTTAAAAACAGGAATACGATGGTTAGTATCATAGAAAACATATTTCAATTGCTTTATTGAAATCAATCAATAACTATGATATTCCGGATAGATATAATATTCCGAATAACATAATTCATTACCACTCTTTGTTGTAAACCATAGATAGCAATAATGATTATCCGGTGTCAAATTTAACCAGTATAGTCGCCATTTTACAATGATTGAGGAAAAAAAGTGAGGAATTGCCCTTTTCCGTATTTGTAGGCTTTCAGCTTGAGTTTCTTTTGTGATAATTGTGTTTATCAATCCAACAGAAATCTTTAAACTTTTTGCCAACTTGCCCTGAGATTGTGCATTGTGCTACGCAATCGCTCCCGCACTCTCTTGATGTTCTTGATGGGGTGATCGTTGTTGGTTTACTTCCCCTTTCTGAACGATCCTGACTTGCTTCCAGGGATTTGTAGCGATTAATCGTTACAGAAGCAAGCAATTTTGCAACCATCAAACGGTGTGAAATTTCGATCTGCTTTTTTTCGAATCCTTTCAAATGCAAGTTGATGATCGAATTGTGATGTTGGGCTTTCTTCATTTTCTAAATATGAAAAACAAATTGTGAATAAAATCTTGTGAACAGAACATAAAACAATAGAAAAACATATACAAAACCAAAAAAAAATCTATCAATATTATGATGCTTACTGAGTAAGAAAGGCGTGAGGAAGTAAGGAAGTCAGGAAGTAAGTGTTGAACACCCTGTATCTGATCGAACTTTTAACGCTGGTTCCGAATTCGATCTTAGCTTTGCCAGTGGGGCGCTGTAGCGCAAGATATTTGACCCCGATTTGTCTATGTTTAAAAGTGTTCTTTATAATAATCAGCTTTTGAATCAAGGTTATTTGGAGTAGAAAAATTTATGTCGAGGAAAGTCAATTTTTGTGAGCATTTTCAATCAAAAACTGATTCCAAAAGAGAAAAAAAGGGCTTTAGACTTGAAATTGTTTGCAAAATACAGTACAAAATATTAAAATTCACTTGAAATTTTGAAAAAATAGATGACCTTTTGATAAATTCCGAGTCAAAAGAACGGGAAAACATAAAATTACAGGGTGACCAAGAAATACCGCAACAACGTCGTATTATGTTATGAGCCCCATTTCACTTTTTGCTTACCTGTTTTTATGGTTTTTGTGTATTTTTCTTATTTGATGGTATGATTACTAACTTTCAATACATTAGTATGGTTGTTTTCAGGGATGGTGAAAGCGTCTCCACATCGACAATCGACCCTTGAGCTCAAGCGGTGGCGTGTTCAGGCGAGCGAGATCTCAAAGCGCCATATTTGGTTAAAAGCCAGGCCTTTTGTGTGTTGCGGTAATTCTTGGTCACCCTGTAGACTCGGTACTATCATTTCTTCCATCAAAACCCAATCATTTCTTCCATCAAAACTTGCCAAAATAAAAGGTTGTGCCAGGGTTTTTAGTTTAAGATATTTTCCTTTAATTTTAACCATACAAAAGTTTAATAGATGCCTTGATTGAAAAATTTGCAGATTTTGATTACAAATTCAGATTCCCCATTCGATTTTCTATCGAATGAACTAGGTTTTGTTTCAAAATCCCACGGTGACCTGGTACTCTTCCTTAGTAAGAAAATATATTTAACCGGAATTGATCGAAAGGAAGGTCCTCTCCCTTGTCAGGAACATTGACCGACACTTTTCACAAGTGAATTAAATTTTATTAGTCATTAAAAGAAATTTAGATTTTGTGCAACTCAAAACAGTAAGTGAATGGTGTAGAGGAAACTTTTTCTATCCGAAACTTTCTTTTCTTTTTCTATTCTTTTTTTGCGAAACGCCCCCACTGGTCACGGTATCGGGTGAAAGTGTTCCCAGCCCTTGTCGTGTACTGTTCAGGACGAAGATTTGATGACCCGTGGGATGGAGATGGTGATGAACGAAAATTTGATGACCCGTGGGATGGAGATGGTGATGAACGAAAATTTGATGACCCGTGGGATGGAGATGGTGATGGAGAATAGTAAATCGAGGTGCTGCTAAAAGATGGAGAGTAATGACTGCGCATCGCTGCAGCTTGGGCAATCTCAATGCGTCTTTGCTCCTGTTGACGCTGAGCCTCGATGCGTTGAGCTTCAATGCGTTGAGCTTCAATGCGTTGCTGCTCCTGACGAAGACGTTCAGCTTCACGCTGAAATTTGTAAACTTATCAACTCTCAACAAAGTCCTAAAAGCTTGAACGTAAAATCCACTCAGAAAAAATTACATTACCCAGCTTTCAAAATGAGATCAGCACAATTAACTCACTTGATTCTAACCTTTTCAAACGATAAAGCAAATAATTTCAAAAGCTTTTGCAAGCCTTAAGGCAAAACCTTTTCAAATGTGCTCACATGTTCAAAACCAGACGCCTAACTTTCCTTAGAAAACTTTGGCTTTTTGAAAACTCAACCGAATCTGACCTGTTGCTCAAGTTGTTGTTGTCGAATTTTCTCTTCATCAATTCTCCTCTTTTTCTCGATATCCTCTCGTTCTCTTCTGAATTTCTCTTCTTGTTCAGCTCTGTCTCGTGCCAATCGCTCTTGTTCTTCTTTATTTTTTTGCTTTGCCAGCTTGTCTTCCTCCAAAAAACGAGCTCTTTCCGCTTCAATACGGCGATTTTCAATGGCCAACTTCGCATTCTGTTCAACCGCTTGCTTGTGCTCGGCATATCGTGCCTGAATAATTAAAAAATAGGCTTTACCTTTAATCAGATTCAAGAAAACTTTAGAAGAGTTTTTATGCCTTTAGAAGAGTTTTTATGCCTTTAGAAGAGTTTTTATGCATTTAGAAGAGTTTTTATGCCTTTAGAAGAGTTTTTATGCTTTTAGAAGAGTTTTTATGCCTTTAGAAGAATTTCTAAGCAACTAATGGCCAAAAACTAAATTCACAGCTTTGCTGGATCCCCAATTTTCAGTGTTAGATAGTTATTGTGGTGAATTTAGAATTCGACTACACTTTGTTTTACAATTTACCTCAAAATAAGCCCGAAGATTGTCACGATTCGCTTGCACCGAAATATCAGAATTCATTGTCGGTCGGTTTTCCCAAACTTTCATCACCGCATCGACGCTTTCGGTGTGAAATCTGTGCAGAATTTCCATCACCGCCAAGTTCGGTTCGGCCCCAGTGATTTTCTGTGAAAGAAAAGCTGATCAAAGAAAAAGAAAAGCTGATCGTTTCTCTTTTTTACCTCTTTCATTAATGAATCATATTCATTTTTGGCTTTCGTTTCAGCAACTCCGTTCATCACCTCTGCGGTCGCTTCCAGAATCGTTTTCACCTTTGGCAACTTGTCACTGTTGAAGATCTTCATGTAAGTCTGAAAAAATAGCCCCAAATTTTCTTTTAATTGAATCCTCTTTTAGCCTGTGCATTGAAAATACTCACTCTGAAAAGTTTCATCAATTCTCCACACGAAAGCTCTTCTCCTTGCACCGTTTTCGCCTCCAAAATATCCTCTTCGAAGTGAGAAACAACGAAAGATTGAAGATGTTCCTCGAAATCCGGCTCGACTTCTGTAAATAAATAGTTCAACTTTGACAGGTTGACAGGTTATTGAGTTTCTAACGATCACTCACCACCAAACACTTTATCCGAGTTGTTGTTTGCGACACGACGACCTGGATGTGGCATCAAGAAAGCCTCCAACGACTCAAAGCTAGCTTTGATGCTTTCACGAAGCTTTTGCAGTTGTTTTCCTTGTTTCGGCTTGATTGCTAGCACATTTTGGAGGTATTCATTTCCTCCCTCATAACCATAATCGAACTCCTCCGAATTCGGCCAGTCTCGGATGAGGAAGAGAAGCTTTTGAAATGGAGCCACTTGATGGCGATTCTCGTCTTGTGTCGAGCTTTGTGCAAGTTGGGCAAATTCAGTGAAAAGTCGAAGATTGCTTAGATCATCTTCTTGAATCTGTTGGCTCACGTTGACAATTTGCACCGATGAGAGAAGGGTGCTCAACGCGAAAATCGTAGATAGATCATTCATTGTCGTTTTGTGATCGAAAGTCCCTTGAGTGTCCATTAAAAGGAGGACGATCTAAAGTTGTTTTTGCAATTTCCTCTTTTTTTAGCTTCTGCTAACCAAGAACTACAATAAAAGGAGCTCAATTTTCGCTTTTGATTCTCATTTCTCACCTCGTCTCCATGTTTGTCTCTCAAAATGAACGGTTGACTCCACAGGAAAATCCCGCTTGTGTCCCGCTTTGAGCCGGATCGCCAATGAAATTTGTCCAACGGCGTTTCCGCAGTCAACCACTCGACTCCATCTTTTCCCTCACTTAAACTCTCCAGATAGTTGACGAAAAAATTGAGCATGTACGATTTTCCTTTGCGAAATGCGCCCGCAATCGAAATCACCGCCACCTGAAAGTTTTTGTTAAAAAAATCTGATTGTGGGACCTTTTATACGCACCCCGCCCCTTTTGCCATTGGCAATCTAACTTTGAGCTCAAATATCTTGAAGTTGGGCCGTCCAATTTCAATATTCTTGGTATCATTGAATGCCCCAAGTCTTTCTCTTTCGATTGGTACAAAAACCATGTAAATTGGACAGCTTAACACCGAGAAATTTGAGTTCAAAGTTGGATTGCCAAGACAAAGGGGGCGAGGCGCGTATAAAAGGTCCTACAATTGCCCAGCCCCTTTTGCCATTGGCAATCTAACTTTGAGCTCAAATATCTTGATGTTGGGCCAATTTAAATAGTTTTTGTATCAATAGAAAGAGAAAGACTTGGGGCATTCAATGATACCAAGAATATTTAAATTGGACAGCCCAACACCGAGATATTTGAGCTCAAAGTTAGATTGCCAATGGCAAAAGGGGCGGGGCGCGTATCAAGTGTCCGATAAATAAGAGATCTTGGTGCAAACAAACCTTTTTATTAACCAAATCGCTTCGACCGAGTATTTTCATCAATTCCGTATCATTCAGCTTGTATGATGTCTTTGTCTTGGATGAGTGAAGACTCGACGATTTCACTTCTTCTAGGGTGACCACCGGCACAGCAAATGGGCGATTGTTGGCGGGTTTCGTTGAAGCGGGAGACATTCTGGAAAAGTGAAAAGTGATTTTGGTAGCGATGGCAAAGTAATTGGGTAACACGGGATTAACGGCATCAAAGATAGAGTAATATCATGTTATGAAATGCTAGTTATCAAAGTCTTGCGGTAAAATGACCAGAAACTTTAGCGATTCAGCAACAAATGAAAAAGAAGAAGAAACGAGAATCAAAAGGTGTCTTATCAAGAAGAAAAATGGCTTCTCTTTTGGATTTATGACAGCTTACCGCCCTCTAAATGCCAAAAAATAAGATAATAAAGGTTTTCTTGGAAGTGTTGGCCTTTCCTGCAAAATCGAATTCATGAAAATAAAAAAGCTTCGAGAATAATGAATGGAATTAATACTTATCGTCTTTCTCACTTTGAGGAGAATAATAATCTTTATAAACACTTTGAATCTTTACAGATAGAAACAAAAATGTGAGAAAGGCGACAAAGAAAAGCAAAACGTTTTATCGACAATTGAATGGGACATTTAAAGAACATACAGGGGCATACAAGGGATTCTAACGTTTAGATTCTAGTGTCCTATTAATATTTAGAATCTTTATGTGGAGGGATCAGCTCTACTACAAAAATGTGCAAATTGGGTTGTTAAATTCCGTTCTGGGGATTCTTCGGAGGCCAGGAGAGGGATCATTCAGCAGTCCGACTGGATAAAGCCAAATTGCTCGAAATTCTTCAAACCAAAAAAGGTTTTCTTTTCGGGAAATAGCAGAAGCGTTAAGTTGATCATATCATCAATACTCGAACATTGCATACACTTGGATTTTTGTAAAATTTTGTTTTTAACTAAGTTGTAGTGAATACTAAAAATGTTGCAATTAGATTTTTGAATTATTGATACGAGTTATTTGTACTTGTAGTGCGCCGGCTTTTGTACTTTTGTACTTGCAGTGCGCCCGCGATGGCTTTTGCATTCTAGCTCATAGTACCAAAGCTTTAATCAAGGCTTGGGATGAGATCGACATTGCGTACCTGCGGCGAAATGTCGTTGCGTTCCCCAAGCGTCTTCGCCAGTGTATTCAGAAGAAAGGAAAATTGAAAAGCTTTCATTTTTTGTTGATCTTTAAAATAAAACATCATTTAAAATAGTGATATTTGATATATTTATAAGCGTTTCAAGGTGCCCCCATAATTGTTTGTCACCCTGTTTTGTTAGCACGACATTTGTTAGCTTTTTTACGCTCAACCTTGACAGTTTTACGCATTTTCCACAATAAACGAAGCAATAAACATGTCATTGGTTCAGTTTTGCCAAATTTTTCCGACTTTGCCCTTTTCTAGTAGTCGACAGCTGCCTTTTCCCATCTTTTTTTCTGATTTTTCTCTTCCCATCTTCTCCATGATATCGACAACGCCTGTCGTTCATTGTATTGTTTTGTTTGCGCTATATTTGCTAACGTGATGGCTTGGGTAGCTTTGTGAGCAATCATCTATTGACTTTTACACAACAATCTCAAGTTTCTATCAGATTCTTCAACGATGAATGAGATTGGGGTAAAGTTTTAAGAAATTTTCCGCTTTATTCTTTATTTTCAGCAAGGTTGCTCTCAAAATGAGACGCTGTGGCCGAGTAATTTCACGAAATGCCAGGTTGGCTTTGGTTTTGAAGCAAATGTTTAATTTGCATTTACATACAATTTGCACTTAAGTAATTTTCGTCAAAAGCATCCTCATTTTGGCTTGATTTGAATCTAGCATTTGAGCCATTTAAGTATTTTTGTCGCAAAAGCAAAAGCAAAAGACCTTCCCTTTCATGGGGAACAAAATCGGGCTGAGAATTTTCGCGCACTTTCAAATCTTGGTACTTTGAACTTTGTACTTTGAAGTTAGCTTTAAAAACTTTTTATTCAGCTATGCGAACGACCGAATAAATTGCCGGATAAGCTTCGTTTCCTTCGAGTTTATCGCCTTCATCAACATGCTCTCACTCATATGGATGCATCGTTCTTTTCGTGTTCACGTGAGTTGGAGTGACAAAATCTAGTCAGGACTGATAAAACGATTACTCTTTAAGTTTGTTTCAAATAAGGTTGTTACCTCGACACTATTGATGGATCCTTTTGACACCTTTCGGATTGGACAGAGAGAGTGCCCTACATTCCAATCTAAAAAACTAAAAACTCTAAAAACTTTGATGCCACATATCTGGCGATTGAGACGTCCGCAGAAAAAACTAAAAACGGATTCGAATTCCCCGTGTCAAACTCTACTAGGGTAGCATTCTAGAGGCTTAAACTCCACCTTAAGTTGGTGCCTCTCCCTAGTTAGACCTGCCTGTTAGACCTGCCTACTTGGAGTAGTGTTGACGTTGTCTTACAATACTGGCCTACAAATCATTGACCATATTCATTGATATTCATTGATTGATATAACCATATTTCTCAAGAACTCTAACCAATCCATTTGCCCATTTTCAGTGTGTTTCTATCAAGGAAAATCTCGTCACACTGTTCAACGACATCAACGAAAAAAGCATGACAAAGTGCATGAGAAAAATATGAAAATTGTGGATTTGAGGTGAGCCTTGAATTTGTTTGACTCTTAAATGCAATTCATTTACAGCAAGAACGAACCGGGCAGAAGACAACTCTTCGAAATGACCAAGAGATGTTTCCCGGATTATGCACCAGAATTGACACAATATTACTATTCGCAAGGGTTGAATGATGGACGGAAAGCGAATAATGTGGTGAGTGGGAAGGTTGAAAGCTGGCTGGGTACTGGGCTACAAAAAGCTTTGTTACTTGGCGTTTATTGTTTGATTTTCGTTAGCTGATCAAATTCAGACTGCTTCAAAGCCACCACCAAACGATGACAAGAGAGCCATTTTGGTGCCAGCACCGTCGAATCAAACATATCAAACAGGAGGAGTGGTGGGTCGAGAAAAACAGGATTTAACTGAATTTGGGAATTGTAAGACATTTATTACAGAATTAGATAAAATTAGGAATTGTTAGACAGTTATTGTACAGGGTGGCCGCAAAGTATAGCGACAGCTTTTGGAAAAGTAGCTGGGAAGTGTTTTTGGAAAAGTAACTTGGAAATGTTTAATTTATTTCAAAAGTGGCAAATGTTATATAGAAAATTGTAGCCCTGATTCTTGGCAATATTTATCGACCAAAAGCTTTCCAATTGGACTTATAGAATACATTTTACAAGTGCTTGAATGATGAGTTAAATCAGTGCTACATCTCTCCAGCGAATCTGTCATTTGACCGCTTTTTTCTATTGTTAAAAAATGCTTTTCAATATTTTTTTAATGCAAAAATAGCGTTTAACATCAATTAATAACATTAAGAATCACACTTAACTGTTTTGGCATCACAAAATTTAAGAAAATGTCAAGATCCTTTTGGAGAAACAGGGAAAAAGGGAAAAATTGAGTACTTTTGTTTGCGTATCTCGTGATATCAGCTCTTCTATCGCTATAAATTGTTAAAAATAATTTTTTAAATAAGATTACCACAAATTTAACTAAAAAGCTTTTCCGAATAAGATTTTTTAACGTAGAAAAGTAGCCAAATGATAGATTCGCTGAAGAGATATCGATTAGCGCTCATTCAAGCGCTTTTTAAATGAGTTGTATAAGTCCAATTCAAAAGCTTTTAGTATGTATATGTAGCCAAGATTGCGGACTTCAAATTCCTATATAACACTTGCTACTTTCAAATAAAATAGATTTCCAGATACTTTTCCAAAAAGTTTCCAGTTGTCGCCATACTTTGCGGTCATCTTGTACTGAAAAAAGTACTTTCCAAGAAATCTCAGGCTGGCGTTTTAATTTGTGGTTAAACTACAGTATTCCTTCTTTTTATCCATTCGAATTGATGGGGTACGGTAGTTTTACCGGGCTTTTACCAGGCTTTCTAGGATCAGCCTGGGATTTTCTCTTAAAAGGTTACAAGTAGTAAAAAGTACACTTCAAGACAGACATAGCGAGTTCAAAGCTGAATATTCAGACTCTAGTTTAGTTCAAATACAGCAAAGTACTAAAGCAAAATACTGTAACAGAATGCCTGATAGAGTCAGTATACTAAAAAGTACCACAATATTCTTACATTCACCTCCTTTCCAGCCAATGATGAACTTCCGATACGATGGACAGAATGCTGTTGGTGGAAATGATTACAATGGACAATTCCCGTTTCAAACAATCCAAACACAACAACAATCAACGTCTAATCAACAAGTAAATTACTCAAATTCTCTAGAAATCCCAATATTTCTAGGCTTTTGATGCATCTCAAGGATTGAATCTTCCTTTTAATGATGATCTGAGAAGTTTGCTGAAAAGAGAAAAAGAATTGGAAACCGAAAATAAAAACCTGAATGAAGCGCTGAAGAAATTAAGTCAAAAATATGATGAGGTAAAGAGAAATTGAAAGTTTTCGAATATTTAGCCATTTTAGACTGTGCTTGAGTTGGAAGCTGAAAAAATGAAGAACAAAAATACATCATAGCAAAGATTTTATGCTCACTTTTCTCTGAATACCACAATCAAGTTGGTTTTCGATTTATTTCTACACTTCTCTTTCAAATCATTTTTCTTCTAAATAAGTTTGCTTTTCCTGGTCGGGTTTCACTTTTTTTGATTGTAATAAATTTTCTACAAGGATTTTCAAGTATTCGAACCTTTTAACAGTCAGAATTTTGTTGTTAAATAGAAGAATTTGTTGGTTTGTTGTTTTAGAAAAAGACTCTTTCTTAAAGTTTCTCTTGCTTTATTTCCTTACATATACAGTGCGTTTCAAATTCTTAAACGCACCCTCTAAAATAGCGGTCTGGCATTGAATTGATGAGGTTTTGAAGAGCAGAGACGTCGAGATAGCTCCAGGCCGAAAAAATTGCTGCTTTAAGTGTAGAAACGTCTTGAAACCGACGATGATTCTTGTAGACAGCTCGGACAAGTATTCCCCATAAATTTTCTATCGGATTGAGGGTTGAGGAAACTGCGCGAGCCAGTCCAAAATCGCAATGTTGTTGCTGTTCAGTCAGTCTCGGGTGTCTCCGGCTCGATGAATTGACGCGTTGTCGTGTTGAAACACATGGGGAATGCCTGGATTTAGGTGCAAAAACGGCAGCAAGCAATCGTTCAAGACGTCTATATAGTCAAAACGATTCATACGATTCGAAACCATCTTCAGAGCGACCGTTCCATCAGCATAAAATGCGGCCCAAACCATCACAGAATCACCGTCAAAGTTTCGAGTCCCAAACACCATCGGATCACGTCGAAGATCCCTCCAATAGTAGCCAACGCCATCGGGGCCATCTAAATTCCATTTCTTCTCATCGGAAAAGATCACCTAAACGCAAAAAAAATAATACAACATACGCGGCTTTCTAACCATAGACCAATCCTGATTCATATGAGCCTTGGCGAACGTCAATCAGGCTTTCTTTTGCAAAAGCGTCACAGCCGGTTGCTTGTTCAACAAGTGTCGATCGATATGTGGATTTTGGAATCGAAAACCCAGGCAATGGGTGTCTGATTATCATATTAAAAATGTAGAAAAAGCCATTGCTTTGAAAAAATAGTAGTGACAAAATTAGCATTTTTAACTTTGGCGATTTGTACTTAACTAAACGTGTTTTAGCCGGTTGACTGAATATTTTTAATTTCTTTGTACTTTCGTGCATAAATACTTGTACTTGATGAGGTGATTGCTTATTTCATTGTCCAGTCTGAGCTGAGCATACAATTTCATCAATGATTTCATCACCGTGAAACAATTTAACCCATGGTCTGTTTCAACACAAAATGGGAGATTAAAAATCGAAAAAGAATTTGTGAATTTGTGACGATTTATTCTTATCTTTGACACCCTTTCTCAAAGCTGTGCCATATGGTTTTTTTGTAATAAAGCCGTGCAAAAGTGAGATTGCAACTAGAACGTATTCTTTACTAAACAATTGAATGATGTTTGCCGAGATTTTATTTGGAGGTAAGCTGTTTATTTCTTGATTTATTGACATTAACGCATAAGAAAAGGCTACCGTAATCTCAGTCGCGATTAGTTTAGTGTTAAACAAGTTTTCTCTATTTCCCATTTCAGCTTTCATCTTCGGTTTCGCATCGGCCGATTGCAATGCCAACCAGCAGGCAGCCATCCTCCAATGCTATGCCCCATACCTTCAATATTATGGAGTCAACTCTCAGCGTATCCTTTGAACTAGTAGCAAAATATAAGGGTTTACAGCCGGAATGTTACCAGACTTGCAGACATTGGCGAATGCAATGCAACAGAAATTTGATCAATTGGGACAACAGGCAGCCAAGGATCTTTGCGAGTGAGTTCGCAAGCAAAACGAGCTTTAGCTGTCATATTTTAGTATCTAAACCGTTGTAAACAAAAACCGTAAGATTTAACTTGAAAAAACTCAAACTTAGCTTTCTTTCGGGTTTCCTGGGTGTCCCAAATTTCTGGGATCTATTTCCAATTCAAATTTGAGCGCTTTGTCACTTGATTTTCTTAGGATTTTCTGGCACATTCGAACTCCATTTTACATCAATTTCAAAGCCTCAAAGTGTCTTCTTTAAAACTGTATAAAAATTTAACAAAGCTAATAAGTTAACAATGCTAATATCTTTGAGCAAAGAGCAATGAACCTCAAAACTTCAACTCATTCAAAAACTCTCAGATTCCCGCCAAAAAAAAACTGTAACTTTGCAGTCACGCTACTCCATTGAGTCAATGTCTGGCCAAAGTGATGAGCCCAATCGATTTGGATTGTTTCATGCAATTAACCGGTAACAAGACTGACGATTCGTATGGATACATGGAGGACATCGCTGTGCACAACTATGAGTGCGGTGCTGGGTATAAAGGTAACTCGTAAATTGGCCTTAAAGCAAGCTTTTGTGAGAAGCAAGCTTTTGTAAGAAGCAAGCTTTTAGTTTTCGTCCAAGAGTTCTACTGTATGGAAGGCGTTCAGAAGAACCAGGCAACTTTGCTCCAGGTTTGGCATAGACTATTGGCTATTTGATCAGACTTGATTTTGTTTAAAATTTGTGTAAAGTTAAACGCTTTCCAGCAATGCCAAGACGATTTGAACAAAAATTTGCAAAACGGAATGCCTGTCTGCCAGTGAGTAACTTGAATTGTTAGGCATTGGCTTTGATCTGTAAACATTTCTAGCTAAAGTTTGATAGCACTTTGAACTAGACTTGTAACGAAAACATCTCCTTTTTACCCTTTTTTTGCCGATGGAAATTTAAGTTTTTTCATCTTTTTCTCAGCGCAAACAGCATTGAAACAAGATTAATTAAAATGCCGCAGGTCTGATAATAAAATAACCCAGGAACCACATTTTTATTTTCAAAAGGTTATAACTTTTTATAGGGTTTATCAATTTTTATTTTGATTTTGATTTCGATTTTGACTATGTTGACTATCATTCGATGCAGGATAAAATTGTCAAAGTCTAGCTGTGTCAAAGTCTTCATCAATCATCAATCAAGCCTAAGTCATCAATCAATCCATCCATCAATCACTTTAGAGCCTATGACACGTACATCTCTTGCGAATCCGTTGTTCTGGCTCGATACTGTGACTACAATGCCGGGGTTTTCTACTGTAATGTGCTTCGGGTGGCCTTGGACTCCGTGTACAACGTTTGTGACAATCAACATCAACTCACGCCTTGTCCAGATTATCATTAGAAATAAAGATGTAAACTTTTCAGTCAAACGATTCAGTTGGCGCTTTTCAAACCGGACTTTTAAACCCAAAAAAAAAAATTATTTGCAAAAATATCCCACAAGGTCTTTTTAAAAATGGAATAATTTTTCTAGAGTGTCTCAGCGATACAATATGTCTGAACAACCGGAGTGGCGGCCTGAAAAAAGAGAACTTTCAAAAATCAGACTACAGAGTGGTCCACAAGCACTCTCCAGACTCCACAGAAAAGAGCCACTTTTCTGCACACATAACCAGTTTTTGGAAAACGAGTCTTTTCCAAAAAACGTTCTACAGAAAGTAGCGTTTGAAAGCTCTAATTCTCAGCATTATTAAGATATTAAAGATTTTTGGATAGAGCTAATTCTTGACCCTTTTCTGGCCCTCGGAATGAGCTCGCCGCAAGCACTCCACGGCGATCTGTCATTTTTCGTAGAATTTGCACATGTTTAGTTAACGTTTGCCTTTGTTTTGAACCAAAAGAATTGGAAAAAGGTTACGCAGTTGAAAACAATCTTTTCAAAACACTCCTTACATTCAAAAACACGAAAAATGACAGCTCACCTGACAGCACACGAAAAATGGCAGTGGGATTCTTGCGGCGAGCTCATTCCGAAGGCCAGTAAAGGTCAAGAATTAGCTCTAGCCAAAAAATCTTTAATACATTAATGGTACTGAGAATTAGAGCTTCCAAATGGTATATAATAAATGCTACTTTCTGTAGAAAGTTTTTTGGAAAAGAATCCTTATCCAGAAACTGGTTATGATAATTGTGGAGCATCCTGGATTTTTAAAGCATTGAATTTGAAAATTTGACAAAAACATCGAGCGGATCAGCGTCAGACAAACGATCAAGGCGACCCACGAGCGAAAATTGAGCGAAACGCCGCCGTTCACGCGGATCTGTTACAAAAAATCGTTTAGCACTTAAAAATTGTTCGTTTTTAAATCAAAATCGATCTCCTATTCAAGAAATTTCGGTACATGTCGATATTTTCCCCAAAAATTCAGCGCAATTTACATTCAAGACCCTAAATTTGCATACCAATTGAACAAGAACCCCGTTTTCTATCGATTTTCTTCGAACAACAGTTAAGTATTTGCAAAGATTTGACGATCGATTGGAACTCTTTCTTCCGTGAAGTGTGTGCCGAGTCTTAGCTTCAGATAAAGATTTTTGTACTTTTAGCACTTCCTTGAATACTTAAAATCTTCAAAAATCGAGTACAAGGAACGAAATACTTAAGCAAGTACAATCAGCTAATTTCAGCGAATGATTGCCGCTGCGAAACTCAATTAGCGCTGCAGCGAATAATCGCTGCAGCGGTCCGTTCCTGAGTTTTTGCTGCAGCGATTATTCGCTGCAGAAGTTTCGAGTGGGTTAAATTTGGCCACGTGTTAGAAACTTCTAGAAAACTTTTGAAAATTCGTAACGAAGAGGAGAAGTTTTCCCTCGATTAAATAGAAAACTAGCAAATTCGGGCGAAATCTCGGAGGAGAAAGAAGTCTTTGATCGAAAAAGAACAAAACCCATTTGAAAGGAATTTTCCCGAGAGTTGATGACTAGTTAGAGCCGGAAAATTCAATCAAACAGCCAAAAATTCAATCCTTTGACCAAAGTCTAAAGAACTGTAATAACGAAAATACCTTTTTTTCCCGCAAAAACTTGCGTCAATTTTGAAGAGCAACAAGAAAATGTGGACTTTAATCAGTGTGGGAAAGTTTGAGGAAACAATTTTGCATGATTACGTGAAGTGCAAAGTATTTCTAGAAAAGGGAAATTGGCATAATTGGCATGGATATTATAGAATTTTTTTTCTGTTTTTTATCCTTTTCTTACTTTCTGCGCAAATCACAAGACTAAGATTCAACAAAACAGTTTGCGTAAAAAGTAACCAGATAAGTTTGTTCTGAAAAATTGTTGAGATTTTATCAAATTGATGACATTTGAGATATCAGAAATCAGGAGCACGAAACAAATGGGGAAAAAGCGCATTTTTTTTGTTTGTGAGTGAAACTTTGGTCGTCCAAACGGATATTGAAAGACTGATTTGTGAACGTTATTCCATTTAGCATAAAAATTTCTAAAATGAGAGTCCTTGATCTAATGAATCCGGTGTTTCGGACATGATTTCGAACATAACTTCTTCGAAATTCTCTAGAAGATCGACTGTTTCTCCATTAATCTCGGTATGCATATTTTTGCGAACTTTTGTAAATGTTCTTGGAGATTTCATTATTAATCCGTGAGCCTCATCTCGATCGATCCAATGAAAAACGAATTCTTTTGTAAAGGCAGGGACTTTTTCGCCGCTTTCATAATTTAGCGGATCGTCGAGTAGCATTAAAAGTTTTTCATGAGTCTGACAATTAAGGAATCGAAAACCTTCAGTCTTGAGAAAAGCTATTCGAAAGAGGTCGCGGCTGATCGTACGCAGTCCAAAGACTTTAATAGTACCGACTAAAATATCGTGTAACCTATCGAGAAAGAGAAAATAGTATTCCAGGGTTTCCAGGCACTCTTCAGGGGTACATTCAAAGATTAACATTTGCATTTCTTTTGGTTGCGGGTAATATGCAAGAGATGGGAAATCGTTAACTTTTGCGAATGGATCAAACGGAATCATTGAGCATTTATTCGCATGTTGGCACAAATAACAAGGTGGGTTCCGAAGTTGGAAGAAATATTCAGGATTGTTCTGGACGTCTTTTGTCCTGTCAATCCTTGCTTCGAAGTCAATCATTTGCGAAATTTTGTTTTCGGCCAACTTTTGATAGTTGTCAACGAGTGTTCGAAGTGAATCGATAATTTTGAACAAATTGACTGGAATAAAACGCATAAATTGCAACTCGTCAAGACCGTTTTGCATTGTAAACAAGCACCCCTTATTGCTCCAAGTGCCATCAAAAGATTGAGCGCTTCTAAAGTCCGATCTGACAAATTTCGGCTCTTTTTCACTGATCAACAGCCATTCTTGATGAGAAGAGGTTTGCAAATAGCACTTGAAATGGACTCTATTTGTGTATTGTCTGTTTTTGAAATCACCTAGCCAGGTGATCAACCACGAGACACGTTGATAACAACTCCAGGGAGAGATCTGATCTTTGTGAATCCTTTGCAATACTTTGAGACAATCGCCCACCAAGTTGAACAGATCACTAAAGTCATTCTCGATCGCTATTTCAAATAATTCCTCGATTGACAAATCCTTCAATGCTTCAGTTTTGGGGTCACTGAAGTCACACTTGAAATCCCGAGGATTCTGCTTCACTGAATCTTGATGATCAGTTTTTTCGGGAGTTTTATTGCATTTTCTTTCAAATGACGCTCGACGACTTGCACGAGAAGTTTTCTTTTCCTGGCTTAATTCAATCAGATCAAATGTGTAATACTTTTCCATTTTATTGCCTAAAATTTGAGGCACTCTTTCTTGCACGAAAATCAACTTTTGTTCGCCGGACAAAGCGTCGAATTTCTCTTGAATCAAATTTCGATGTTTATCGCAATGAGGATCGAAATGATTGCTTTTTGCATTAGCAAAAGTTTTGATAAAGCTTTGGCTTTCATCAACGTCAATTGAACCAAAATTTAGAAGATCTGAGCCGGAGCGCTCTTGAATTTCTCCCGGAACTCTTTCTTGTTTGCCATTAAACCCTACAGGTCTTAAAAGTTGCTTTTGATGATTTTCTTCACTCGGTAAAAACTCCAAATGTTTGAGGAACTCGTCGCCCTAAACGCTAAATTATAAAACTAGATAAATATCTAACCTCAAGTGCATTTTCTAGATCTACCAGAAGTTGTTGAGCATCTGGTCTAAGAGATAAATCGAAGGCAGTGCTTCTGAAAGTAGATTCTTCAACTAAGAAATAGTTATTAATATTCGGACTTGCAAAAAATCTCCTGAATGGTCGCTTGGCACTTTGGCGTTTCGAAGTGCTGAGTCTTTGCAAAAACAAAATTGAACAGGAAAATTTCGCGTTTGAATTGATTCCATTCGCAACATTCCGACAAAACTTCTCTAAAATTTGTTAGATCACCAGATTGCTATCGTGAATTCCAGTGAATCAATGAAAATATGTTTTTTATTACAGTTAGGTAATAATCGAAAACTAGCAAGTTCTACTTACAGTGGTGGAAAAAAATTGCACCCTCTGCAAACGGGGCAATCGTAAATACCTAATAATTTTAGAAGACCTTTTCAACGAAATAACTTAAATGCAATAGGTAGTAGAAAACTAGGCGCAGTTAAACTGATAGAATTTACTTGAGTTTTGAAAAACCTTTATGTACATTAACCATCAATAACAAAAAAACACCCAAAAACGGCGGAAAAAAAATTGCACCACAGACAAAAAGCCTAAAGGGGGTGTTTCTTTTATGATCGGTTCTCGATCGTAAGAAGTAACATATAGTAAAAAGTGTGTAAAAACACTAGTTGTGATCCAGAAACAACAAAATCGAAATTTGAGATTCGAATTCGAAACCAGCCCGGAAGATGATTTTTTTCCACCACTGTACAGTTAGAAGTTCAATTTGATGTTTAATGCAGCTTGATTTTTAAGCCCGATTCTCGATTTGAAACTATCATTTCCTAGTTGGAAAGATTAGATGAATGAATGACAAAAAGTTACCTCCTTTCTATCATTTCCCACAAAACAAGGCCCATGCTGTAAACATCGTTACGATGTGATGCCTGCAATTTAAGAACCCTTGTATTTAAGAACCTTTCTATTTAAGAATCAATATTATTTAAAATTTTACCAGTTTCACGTCACTTAATTGTCCCTTCTCGATTTGTGGTGGACTCATATATCTATTTGTGCCGATTGATGTCGCACAGGCGGCAGTTCGTTCGCTCAACTTCACCGCACCAAAATCCCCGATTTTGAGCATAAAGTTTTGAGTGACAAAAATGCTAAAGTTGGTTCGGAGTTTTCCATTCAACGGCTTTATTTGCTCACTTATCAGGTTTGATGTCACGGTGAATTACGTGATGCACTTGGAACATATAGCTAAGAGCATGGAACATTTGTTTTGCCCAAAGAATCACCGTGTGCATTGTGTACACAATACAACGATCGAGGAGTACGAAAATTTTTATTGATTACTTTGAAAATGGTGCTGGTTTTGTGGGTGACTCACATTTACGAAGGGTGCCTCGTTCACAAAACTCGAGAATGATCGCAAAACGATTCTTTTCAATTGATTCTTCGGTTGAGATTATATTCACAATATTCGGATGGCTGAGTTTTCTGAGAATCTCACATTCTTGACGATACATAGCAATCAATGCATCTTTCGGGTCCTTCAGGTATTTGACAACGGCCGGTCTAGGATTTGAATCTATTAGGTAGTTCTTTTTATTGTCTCTTGGAAATAAAATGGATTCTGCTAAAGTTTGTTATTTTAGTACACTTTTGGACAATTTTGGTCCAAGGTACAAAAGTCCATACTTTGCAGAATAACGTATTCTTAACGTGACTCAAAATTTCCATTGACTCACGGTATATGTCCAACTCTTTGATATACAACACTGAAACCCCCTTCACCGAGTAAACGCTCTTTGAACTTTTTTTCAGACATCACTGAGGCAAGTTGAACTAAACTTGCATGGAAATGGAAATAAAATTGAAGGTGAGTGAAATAAAGAATAAAGTGAGAGTAAGAAAGGCACCAAACGTTTATGTGTCAGCGACTGATAAGAGTTTTTTTTGAAGAAACTCGGCTCTTTTTTTTTGTTCACAACCAAAGGGTTAGTATTTTAGGAGCCGAAAATGAAAGGGAAAAAGAAAGAAAACGAAAAATGTGAAGTGAAATTTTGCTTTTACACTTAATATTTTATTAAATTACATTATTTAACACTATTTGATTATTAAATATTTGCAGATGAGGAGTTTGGTTGTTGCTGTGAGGCGTTTGAAGTGATTTGCTGAGATCTCAGGTTCTTAAAAGGGTTTTTTACCAAAATGTTAATTGATTCACCAACCGCAACGCTAATCTGAGCCATGTAATCATGTAATGTTTTTGAGCCCCGGGATGAACTTCTATCAGGCGCTTTTTCGCTTCGAACTCGTTAAATAAAGTGACGCGGACTGGTTCACGTAATTCGGAAGCACCGTGTTATAGAAGCCCCCCCCCCCTATAAGAGTGTCGCGTAGTCTAAGTCTACACTCAAAGAACCACTCATATCTCGGCGCCCCAGACATTTGTTTCTGCGCCCTTAGGTATCAAATTAAAGTAGTTTCATCATTTTTCAATCATTTTTTTCTAAGCGCTGGTTAATGCTAAAAAATATGTGTTATATCTCAAAAAATCACCCATCCTCTCCACTTTAACACATTGACGACGACGTGTACCACCGGTGGTACACGCCTTTGAAGGGCTTCCAGTTTTTTCGTCCCAGGTGTCAACCTAGCAGAAAAACGCTTCGTCGTCAATGTGTTAATTTGATACCCAAGCAAGCAGATATGTCGAGCTATGAGCCTTTATTTGAGAGTAAACTTAGACTACGCGACGCTCCTATAGGGCCTTTTCTATTAGAATATTTACGCTATGCACTTCACTAGTGCATATTTAGCCTTTTCACACAAAACTATTCACGGATGTGCCCAATTTCTTTCACACTACACGTGTTCTGTTTACGAATGTGTATTTTGACTATCATTCGATGAAGAATAAAATTACGCGTCGAATGATACCAAAATTAACGCAAAATGTAATATTCACGAAAAGTTATGAGGCAAAAGGCGACGCGAAATCCGCGCGAAATAAGGCAAAAAATCGTTTTCTATAGGATTTTTACGTTTGAATATCCGATTGACGCAGAAAAATGTGCTGAATCCGAAAATAAAAGAATTTTTGAAATCCCTTCGACAAATTTTTTTAAAATCGAGTTTTAGTGATTTTACTGTGTTAAATTTTTATATATATATATACTTTATCCGACAAGGAAAAGTGACAATGCAAACAGATTGAACAGCGTAGACGAAGAAAGATAATTGATATACAAACACAACTACAATTAGACACGTGTATATATGATATTAAAAATTAATTTAAAATTGACAGAGCTACAAGATCGAGCTTATATATTGAGGATTTAAAATAGTTCAGAGACGAAAAAATATCACAAGGTAACTTATTCCAAATACGAGGAACACGACAAGCAAAAGAATGATACAGTTGGCGGTTATGAAAGCTTTGAAAGGGGGTAATCTGAAAGTTGTGACTACGAGTTCTTCTGGCGTGATTCGAAATCTTAAAGAGTCCTTTAAGTTCCGGATGAGAGTTAGGAGAGAAGATGATTTTATAGCATAAGACCAAATCAAAATAAATGCGGCGATAGGATAAGGGTTTAAGGTCAAAAAGAGCAAGTCGATCAGAATAGCAAGGAATTTCTTTCGATGGGAAACAACGGGCATACGCCCTCCTACTGAAACGACGCTGAACGCTCTCAACCAAGGAAATTAACTTTTGGAGGCAGGGAGACCAAACAAAAGTGTTTTTCACCCATATTTTATTGTCGGAGCAAAATCTTGGAAACAAAAGCCTAAAACAAAAATGTAAACCGCAAGTTTTATTCTACGGGCTTTTCTCTATCTTTTGATACCAAAAGCATAAAAATTGATAAACCCTATAAAAAGTTATAACCTTTTGAAAATAAAAATGTGGTTCCTGGGTTATTTTATTATCAGACCTGCGGCATTTTAATTAATCTTGTTTTCAATGCTGTTTGCGCTGAGAAAAATATGAAAAAACTTAAATTGTCATCGGCAAAAAAAGAACCGATAGATGTTTACTTTGAACGATGCGTTCAGTTTCTAGCTGTATCAAAGTCTTCATCAATCATCAATCAAGCCTAAGTCATCAATCAATCCATCATCAATCAATCCATCATCAATCACTTTAGAGCCTATGACACGTACATCTCTTGCGAATCCGTTGTTCTGGCTCGATACTGTGACTACAATGCCGGGGTTTTCTACTGTAATGTGCTTCGAGTGGCGTTGGACTCCGTGTACAACGTTTGTGACAATCAACATCAACTCACGCCTTGTCCAGATTATCATTAGAAATAAAGATGTAAACTTTTCAGTCAAACGATTCAGTTGGCGCTTTTCAAACCGGACTTTTAAACCCAAAAAAAAAATTTATTTGCAAAAATATCCCACAAAGTCTTTTTAAAAATGGAATAATTTTTCTAGAGTGTCTCAGCGATACAATATGTCTGAACAACCGGAGTGGCGGCCTGAAAAAAGAGAACTTTCAGAAATGAGACTACAGAGTGGTTCAAAATCATAACCAGTTTTTGGAAAACGATTCTTTTCCAAAAAGTTTCCACAGAAAGTAGCATTTATTATATACCATTTGAAAGCTCTAATTCTCAGTACCATTAATGTATTAAAGATTTTTTGGCTAGAGCTAATTCTTGACCTTTACTGGCCTTCGGAATGAGCTCGCCGCAAGAATCCCACTGCCATTTTTCGTGTGCTGTCAGGTGAGCTGTCATTTTTCGTGTTTTTGAATGCAAGGAGTGTTTTGAAAAGATTGTTTTCAACTGAGTAACCTTTTCCCAATTCTTTGGGTTCAAAATAAAGGTAAACGTTAACTAAACATGTGCAAATTCCACGAAAAATGACAGATCGCCGTGGAGTGCTTGCGGCGAGCTCATTCCCAAGGCCAGAAAAGGGTCAAGAATTAGCTCTGTCCAAAAATCTTAATAATGCTGAGAATTAGAGCTTTCAAATGGTATAGAATAAATGCTACTTTTCGTACAAAGTTTTTCGGAAAAGAGTCGTTTTCCAAAAACTAGTTATGATAATTATGGAACATCCTGGATTTTTAAAGCATTGAATTTGAAAATTTGACAAAAACCCCGCTCACCCCGTTGAACCACTCTCCATCTACACATGTGAATTGACTATTTGTGAGCGGACCATTCCCAGTAGTGTCCACGTCTCCTTGGGCAGCCATGGTAATCGAAAAAAGAAACGATTTTATAGGCTTGACTTTAAATCATGCGTTTTCTAAAATGCACCTATTTTCGAAAACCCCCGTTAATTCAATCGTCAGTTTACACTAATCACTACAATTTTGGCGAGAAATCGATTATGATTTCTGTAGCACAGATTACAATTATATTTGGTTGAAAGGTAAGTTCTGTCCGTTTTTTTGGGAGAGGTTCTTAAGCCCAACCAATCTACACGTGGTATGGCTCATGCGAAAGCTGAGTTCAAGACGGATAAAAAGGAAAAACCGTTTTTGAATTCATCCAGTTTTAAAGTTTTTACAGGCGTTTTACTGAGCTCAGTCAGACCCAAAAAGTGCCGAAATTGCGTTTCGATAGTTTTTTGTTTGGCAACATAGGCTAAAAACACATTATTCGTACTCAGCGCATTCAATTACCCTTAGAAACTGATTTTTGAGACTTTTGCAGAAAAAAAGTCAAAATTATTGTCGCGAGCCGGAATCGAACCCTTGACCTTTTTGGGTAGTAGCGCCGTTTTTTGCCCGTTTTCTTTGCTTTCTTCCTTTGTCTGGAGCGTTTACCTGAAAAATAACAATAAACAAAAATCAATTAACAAAACAAAAGCAAAAGGAGATTAAACACATTCAATGTCAGCCAATGAGATGTTCTTCGTTCACATTTCAGACTTCCTGCCAGCGGTCGATTTCGGTCCAAAAGGTCAAGAGTTCGATTCCGGCTCGCGACAATAATTTTGAATTTTTTTTTGCAAAAGTCTCAAAAATCAGTTTCTAAGGGCAATTGAATGCGCTGAGTACGAATAACGTGTTTTTATGTTGCCAAACAAAAAACTATCGAAACGCAATTTCGACACTTTTTGGGTCTGGCTGAGCTTAGTAAAACCCTGTAAAGACTTTAAAACTGGATGAATTCAAAAACGGTTTTTCTCTTTTATCCGTCTTGAACTCAGCTTTCGAATGAGCCATAAGCACGTGTAGATTTGTTGAGTTTAAGAACCTCTCCCAAAAAAACGGACAGAACTTACCTTTCAACCCAATATTAAAAATGGGCTGATCGAACGAGTGCTAGCAGTCGAGCTACGATAATTTTCTAAAATAGGTGGACTTTAGAAAACGGATTGCTCGAGAGCTCGTTTGCTAAATGAACAAATCATTGGTACAAAACAATTAAAAGCATTTGAGATCACAGGCGATAAGCTTTCAAACGCTTACCGCTTGACTCGCAATAATAAGTTGTGTTTGTTGTTGATCGTTGGTGTTCGGGGCACAGCTCATTGTCGCGACAAGGCATCCATTGGCTCCTTTGCTAAATGAACAAACCATTGGCACCGGATTTATCTAATTTTTGATTGAACTTTGAAAGTTTATCAAGCTTTCCTGGTGTATTAACCTATAATAGCAAACCAGGATAAATATATGAAGTTAAAGAGATTTACCACAATTCAAAGAGCCGGTTCTTTTTATTAAACGGTGGCTTTCTTTTAATGATTTGATTTAAACTGAATGTGAAATAGAAAAAACAAAATTGTCTCTACTTTACCTGTACGTAAATTTGACGATTCCGTTTCTTCGATTCGGAATTGTCACATCGGTGAGTGCCGCCTGGTCGCTGACTGTTGCGGCAAGGGTTTGTCCGCATTTTGTGCAACCTAAACTTTATTTGGAACCCAAGTGAAACAGCTACAAATTCTTTGATAAAGGATTCAGTTATCGGAGTTAAAAGTTTCGATTTTTTTTATTGAAAAAGTTGCAAATCGAACAGCTTCACTATTCCAAGTTCAATATGATCAAGAAACGCTCACCTTCAGGTCTGAAAATTGATTTAGCTATAAAAACAAAGAAAATTCTGACTCACGGTTGCATTCGAATACATGGAGAAGCCAATTCGATTAAGAGAAATGAAAATATTGTCCTAATGATCATAATGAGTAGGATTTATGGGTGAAATCCAGCTGTTGAATTGAATTTGACTGTCAGCTGGCTATGTGAAAGTTTGACGGATTGGCATGTTTTCTCGTTGAGAAAGGCATGAACTCCGCCTAATTCCAGCAATCGAATCTTCTTTTTCAGATCGATCTTGTCCTGTCTTTTTATTGCTTTTACCTTTCCTTTCCCGCTTAATTGGATCGAATGACTCTCTTTCTTGACAGTTTCCTCTTTTTCCGAAACTGAAATCCTTTAGATTGCCTTCAGCCATCTGTAATGTGTCTGCTCGCGCTTTTTTTTCGTTCGATCTTCGAAAAGGGTGACCTCATCCTCGAAAAGTCGTGAAATTTGGATAGACTCACGGTAGCAAATTGGTGTTGATGAGGAGAACTTTGTTTAGAAACGCATTCAAGCATAAAGATACGGAAAACACGTATCTTTGTGCAGTATCGTACTATATGCCTGAGTTGCTTTAGCTCATTTTCTAGCTGATTTTTTAGCTGATTAGTTGCATGACTTATCAAAAGTCGTGGAAATCAAATAGACTCAAGCCAACACAGCTTGTGTGACAATTGGTATAATTGGTTTTGACAATTGGCAATTGGTACAAGTACAATTGGTTTAAGGTGTTAGCTAAGAAGAAACAGTAATAGAGCAAAGAAAAAACGACTTCATTTTTGTATAGAGACTGAACAAATTTGACGTATCATTGCCCTTTGCTTTATATCTCGACCTCCAGGTTTCGGATCGACTTACGGTTGGTTTCATTAGAATCCTCATAAAATATGGCTAGACTGGTTGTGACAAGCTTGGCTATAAACGCAATCATCCGTAAAAATGTTTAAGCCATAAGCCAAAAAAGAATTTTCCTTCAAATTTGGCTATTAAATTAATAAGCTAAATATTTATGGTGATTGGAGAAATTTTTTATTCTTTGAAATTTCACCTGGACTAGCTTTAGCTCAAGCCTGACACAAAAAAGTCACTGGACCTTGCTTCTGATCGGGATATTTTTCTACAAATTCCACAGCCTGTTAAACCATTTACCTGTTATAACCGCTAAACCCTAACTTCTTTAAGAGTTCATTTTACCACTCGAATCCTTCTTGCATGAAAGTTGTCTGAATCATTTCGATTGATAACTGTCAATAAATGTTCAATCAAAAAGCTTAATTGTCTTTCCATTTATCCGGCTCTTTGGAGAAATATTACTACTATGAATTGAATTGAAACCTCCATGAATTGAACCAGTTATCAGGCATTTTTGTTTTTTGCTCCAAGTCGAGAACTTTTTTCAAAGTTTCAGCTCACTTCAGCAATCCTTAATGACATTTTGAAGTCTATCGATTAATAGCCTGAAACTGAAGGACCTGAAATATATCTGACCTACTCAGCTGCAGTTCGAAAAGAGCCTGCAGCGAAATTGAAACAAAACAAGAACTTTATCTTTATTTGCTCAATGCTTTTAATAAAATAATACAGACCTTACGAAAGACGAATTCTTTTGAACAAAAGATTTCAAAAAGCTTATTTCGTTTCGATGACAGTCGTGTGATGATAGGGAAGAGTGGTTGGTGGGGTGGTGTCCACATGGTGATGATAGCCGGTTGGGTGAACGGTTGTATAAGCGATTGGGTGAGCTTCTTGTTCGATGCTCAATTGACGATCCCTGAAATTTGAAAAGCCGAAATTTAAGCTAATAGTCAACTTTTGTAATAAAGTTAAAAGCTATGGAAAAACTTTAATAAATAGCTAACTGCTTTAAAAACACTAGAATATGTGTTTTTTCGTAAAGAAGTGTTTTTCGGAAGTTCTCCAAAAAGGCAAAAAATCTGGCGACAAGCGGAATCGAACCCTCGAGCGAAGATGGTATAGGTTTCAGAGTCTAGCACACTATCCCCAAGCCGCCGCCGCTTCTGCTGCCTTTGGGCTTGGCGCCCTATAGGCGCCTTATAGGTGAGGTTTCGAAAATCGATGGTAAGTTGAAACAGTTCCCTAGTAAGCTTTTGTAATCAAGTTAAAAGCTGGGTGAAACTACCGTAACCTTATAGAGCCGACATTTCCGTTCAATTTCTAATTCCAAACGATGCTTAGCAAGGCCACAAGAAGCAAAAATATTGTATTTCAAGAAATCTTAAGGTCACCTGACGTATTGATAGAATCTGTAGGTGATGACAGCACGCCAGATAAGGACAGCGATGTAGACGATGAAGAAAGCCATTGTCACTAAAAATTGAAATACGAAAACTGGTCCAATGAATAGGTTTTCAGTCAAAATAGGCTTAAAAACAAGAATTCTTTATCTTTATCTCTTTCAAAACCTCAAACTTAACCCACCAATAGCCACCCAAGTCGCCACAACGCGAGTCTCACGTTCGCGTTCATCGTTAGTGTATCGGACAAAGGTCATTCTGAAATTTAAACCTTTTTCTCTGGAAAAATCGATCGATTACCCAAATCCAGTAAAAGCAAAGATCATGACGATGAATCCAGCGATAAGAACGGAACAAACGAATTGAACAAGCTAAAGGATTGAATAATCTCTGTAAAAACTAATGCAAAATTTAAAGCTAGTCAACACTCACAAAAACGATCCCATAGATTTGCATGAAAACCGGTTTCAGTGTGGTGATGGCAAGGACGGCGATGATGATCATCACGATGCCCAGAATGCCTAACGGACCCTGGAAAAGATTCAGGAAAATTCTTTCTATCTCTTACCGCCCAAGTTCTGAAACGATCGTCATCAAGGAAGAAACCGATGATGGACAGAATGAGACAGATCACATCGAGGATGATGAAGATGGTGAAACCTTTCTGAAAATGCTTTGAGATGAAAGATTTTTGTGTAAATTTAGATGTACACTGAACAAGCTACCGACTAACAAGGGAATGACCAAACCTGACGGTGGGATTTCGACCTGAAATGGAACGCCACCGCCACGTCTGGTCATTCCCTCATAAGCTTGGAATATTTTGGGATGGGAATGATACTTGTCCGTTATACATCTACAACTGCAGAGTTCAGTTCTATAAGACTTGTTCCGCTTAGTCTAGTCAGGCTCTAGTCTAGCTAGGCTCTAGTCTAGCCAGGCTCTAGTCTAGCCAGGCTCTAGTCTAGCTAGGCTCTAGTCTAGCTAGGCTCTAGTCTAGCCAGGCTCTAGTCTAGCCAGGCTCTAGTCTAGTCAGGCTCTAGTCTAGCTAGGCTCTAGTCTAGCTAGGCTCTAGTCTAGCTAGGCTCTAGTCTAGCTAGGCTCTAGTCTAGCCAGGCTCTAGTCTAGCCAGGCTCTAGTCTAGCTAGGCTCTAGTCTAGCTAGGCTCTAGTCTAGCTAGGCTCTAGGCTAGTCTAGCTAGTCTAGGCTTCGCGTTAGTTGCTTTATTTTTAAAGCTATAATCGAAATTATATCCGTTTCTATTAGGTTGGCATAATGAAACCGGACTTTATAGATCTTTTATTTTACAAAGTATACGGAAAGTCAGAATAGATTGTTATAAATTTTTGAAATGCTTGAATGAAGCTCTAAAATATTGACCACACACAATTTTGATTGCCCTTAGCTTTAGAGTTTCCAAGCCGTTTGAAGAGGTAGCGAGGATAGTACAAGTACAGAAGAGGTAGTACAGGAGTCAGCTAAAAGTATTGCTCTTTGAGCAATGGTGATCCTGGGAATTGCTGAAAGAAAAGGAGAATAGTAGGCAGATGTTATGCGCGAAAAATCATAGCAACTATCATTAGAAAATTAGAAAATTTTTTAGTTTTTGAGCTGACTGAGCTGATTGAGCTGACTTTCTTATAGCCTGGCGTAGCTTTGAATAGCTTAAAAACTCTGAAGTTGGCAGCAGTCAAAAATAGTTTGTGGTCAATTTTTAGAGCTTCATTCAAGCATTTCAAAAATGCCTGATAACCTTTGCTGATTTTCCGTATACTTTGTAAAATTAAAGAACTATAAAGTCCGATTTCATTATCACCAACCTAATAAAAGAATTTATATGAAAAGAATAATTGCGACGCCTAATAGAACAGCATTTTCAAAATACGCTGCGCAAAGCTTTGTGAGTAAACCGGCTCAAATGCCAAGTTGTTTCTGCTTACCGTAAAAACTCTAATAGAAGCCCCCCTCTGCCCCTTCGAAATAATGATTAACGATTGACGCTTGACGGGAATGGATAGAATTCGACATAAATATGCCAAAACTATCATCAGCAGTAAAATTGATTAAACAGTTTTCTAAAAAATTCAAAAATAAATTTTGAAAAAAATTGACAGGGGGGACCACAGGGATTTTTTTAATGAAAATTTCTCGAGGCTCCGGGTAAGAAAATATTTTCACTCTAAAACGTTTTCTATAAACGTTTTAAGCTAAGGGCTATCGTTTAAAATAGTTTTAAACGAAAAATCAATTTTTGATTTATTTGGGGGACCCTTACCTATTTTTTTGGCCGACCGATTTTGATGCGTTGAAAAATGGAAGTCCCGGGGCTTCTATTAGAGTTTTTACGGTAAATGCCAAAATTTTACGAATTGAGAAGTGCTTTTAGCCTTAAGAAACAAGATTTGCAACTAGTATAAACTATTTTATAGCTCCAAATTCATACCTTGATGGTCAACGCATTACAACAGCATCGATAGTCCTCTTCTCTGACCCCAGCACGGGTAATTGGATGATTGTGCGGATGCCAGCACCAGGTCATTGTAGAATTTTTCTGAAACTGAGTAAACACGAAAGAGCAAAACTCTTTTAGAGTAAAATAAGTGCATGAAAAGGCTGCTGTAAGTTTGTAGAACTTGAAAAATGATAAAGACAAGAAGTCAAGAAGAAGCCTACACCTGAGAAAAGTTGAAATTTGATTTTGCAATAGTTGAAATGGCAGTAATGAAATGACTCAAATTCTCAGACAAACGGTGTTTTTCTGTTGTGATGCTCAAATGTCAAACTGGGCGGTGAATGGCAACAAAAGAGAGAGAGAAAGTACAAAATTTGCGGCCTTGAGGTTGT